TTATAATTTTGCTTCAGGCAATACACCAGCAAACAGTAGAGTTTAGCTGGTAGTTCTGGCAGTCCTGAGCCCAGAGCTCTGGCCTTAAGTATTCAAACTTGCTTTCCCATTCTAGCCTTGCCTCCTATCTACATCTAATGAAACAGCAAGCAACTTAAACATCCCAGTTTTTTCAACCCAAGACAGAAGGTGAGAATACACACCCTCACAGTGAGCCCCGGGAATGGGAGGGTGGTTTGCAAAGGTATAGTCACTAACTCTATTATTTTCATAATATCGATGACAGAATTAAAGCTGGACAAAAAATCTTAGCCCATGGGATATGCTGATAAAAACACTGAGAACATATTTTCAGGATGTTGATAAACACAGCCACTCCCTGACCTTTACTCTGCTGTTAACTAACTGTGAAGCCCTGGGAGAAGCACAAAACTCAAGTCAGCCCCATGTCTTGAGGGTGGAATAGATCATTCTCAAGCCAGTGTTTTACAAAAACAGTCTCTGAAGCCCTACTCGTGACAGTTTCTGTGTTCTGGGAGAAAAGAGAAAGTATGGAGCAGGAATTGCCATAAAAGGGAAACTAGATTCAACTTAAAGAAGAGTCTTCTGTGCAGAGTTAGGTTGTCATCTCCATCTAGTTATAGTCACATTTCAAATGTGAGGTGACAGTAGATGTTCTTGCTCTGGTTCTGGTGTGCGGTTCTGGGGATGAAACCCAGGACCTTGGGGATGCTACATTCAGCTTCATCCCACTGTGTTATCTCCTTCCATCTTCTTCTCCTTTTTCTTTCCCCCTCCCACATCCTTTCCTTCACTTGGAAACCAGTGCTCAAGTATCATCTAACTAAAAGTCTTCAGGGTCTTCCACATTTTCACAGCTGTCTACAGCTTCATAGCAATGATCTCACTTGGTATTCTCATTGGTGAGGTAGTCTCATTTTACACAGATTGTTTCAGGGAACTACATACCAAGACTAACATCATACAATTGGTTAAAGAAGGGCCAGATTCTACCTCCTGTCTTTTTTTTTTCTTTAAATCCTACCTGCTGTCCAATCTATAAGTGGTTCATGAAGTTGGATTTGCCATACACTCGTAGTTGTAAAGACTTAGAACTCTTAAATTTGAATGTCTTGTAGATGAGGCTTAAGAGCTGTGTCTCTTAAGTGCTTTCCAGGTGATTCTGGTATGCAGCCAAATTTGGGGATTATTACCAAATCATACTTGTCTTGGTGCACCTTGATGTGGCAAAAGGGATAGGCTCCTGGGAAACAAGCAGAACCAGGTAACCCTGGGCAAGTTATATAATCCCATAAAGCCTCTGTTTCTGCATCTGTGAGATAAAGACAGTGCTGTATGACACAATAACCACAAATATTTGGAAAATAGAATGTCAAGTGAGTATATATATATATATATGTGTGTGTGTGTGTGTGTGTGTGTGTGTGTGTGTGTGTGTCTTGTAATCACCACTGCTGCAGTCAGAGGGTGAATACCTCACCTACTGTGTTGTTCTGCTATTACCAAGAAGTAGGTGTGTGACAAAAGTAGCAATGTTTCTAAGATTTTCCTCATGCATATTTACAGCTTATAGAGCCAATCCACTTATTAGCAACAGTCTCCAGGTCTCCCGAAGAGCACAGTTCCTCTTCTGCTAGGATTGCCTTCTTATTAGTAAAACCCAGGGACTCCACACTTCTGTTGTAGAGATGAAGAATCAAATAGTTTTGAGGCAATGGTTCTCAGAAGGGGATTAGATAGACAGAACAGAAATAAATTAGTGCTTGTAAATGAGAACTCACTGTGTGTGATTTTCTAATAAGGTGAATATGCCACAATTAAAGCATGTATTCTTTATAGTTTGTGATTCATATTGCTGGTCTCATCAATGTTGAAAGCTGCTTTTGTAAAATTCTGAGGTCAGACAAAATGCTAAAAATCTTCAACAAATGGGGTAGAAAAGAGAAAGGGAAAGTGAGGCTGGAAATACATTTTTTCAGAGAACTAGGGGAATAGGTTTATATACTTGTACATTTAAGTTACTGATTCCCAAGTGTGTTTTAAGATATGGCTTTTTCCTGCTAAAAATGAAACAATAAATCACTTATGTAAAGCTAACTAAGTGATTACCCGGATAGAATTTGTGTATTTTATCTCTGTAGAAAGGCATGTTTCAGCCTTTCTTTTGTTAATCAATCTCTCTCTTGTCCTCCTGAGAGGATACACAATTTCACTTAAGATCTCTATTCCTGCATCGTCTCAGCTGCCTCTGTTAATCTCCATTCCTCCATCACTCACCTCCATCTCTCTGTTTTTATGTTCATTTCAGAAAGTTTAGGTTGGCTTGACTGAAACCCACATGTGATGCTGTAGGAGGAAGGATCCGAACTTACACCCTTTATGAATCCACATTAAGTTGCAGTTTTTTTTTTTTTTTGAGGTTTTCAGTGTGATTGATTTGATTTATTGCTTTTACCTCCCTTCTGGTGGAAGTATTTTCATTCCAGATTTAGTTTCCTTTCTGTTACTGCTATCATTACCCAGGGAAGGGCTGATGCTTCAGTCCTCTTGGCTGGCACAAGACTTTCTATTAGCGCTGATCTCAGTGGCTCCAGGGCTGTCTACTTCAAGCCTCTTATAATGGAGCCTATAAGGATCTGTCTAAAGAAGAGTTTTGAGTGCCTCTTTCTATTACTAAGTCTTTCTTGGACATTTACTGTTTGCTGTAGTCCTATCTGCCACATAATGCTCCATGATAATTTATAAAACTACTTTTTGTTTGCTTTCAGTCTGTGATCCAATCTCGCTCCAGCCAAATCATGATGCTTTTTAGTTTTCCAATGAAACCTGAGATTTCCTACCTCAACATGGCATTGCTCCTTACAAGAACAATAAGTCAGTAATATTCAGTTGTAATTTCTACGTGTGGAGCGCATTTATGTTAAACAATGGTTTAATTACATTTACTCTCAAAGCAAACAAATCACAATTGTGTGACTCTAACTTAAAGAGGCACATTCATAATCCACAGTAGAACATTATGCCTCCATATTTACTCATGTAGAAGTTCTTTTCTTCAGCTGCTGAGATAGGATTTTCTTTTAGTTACCAAGGTACATGAGGCCAGCTGGCTGGAATAACCAGGGAGAAAACCTGCCAGATTGAGCTATCATGCAACAGAAACAATTGAAACCTAATTTGCTGACCTGTCTTGTTGATTTTGGTTCATTTGCAAACATAATAATGTAGAAACAACACTGACATGGATATTAGAAGACCTGGAATTTAGTCCCATTTTTGACATGATGTAATTGTCACATGATCATGCACATTTTCTAGTCCTTAGATTTTTATTTACAAGATACTGAGCAGTGGGCACAGATAAGGAATCATAACTCCTATTTCTTGCAGTTCAGTCCTTTCCATGTATGTATTTGCTTTATGATTCTTTACTATCCCTGAAAGTTTTACAGATATCATAATTCCATTTCAGTAAATCAAGAGTCCTGGATGGAAGTATTTTAAAAGATTTATTCTTACTCATGTGTCTATGTATGTATCTCTGTGAGTATATGCTATGGGTGGCAGGTGTCTATGGAGGCCAGAAGAGGGTGTCGGATACATTGGAGGTAGAGTTATAGGTGGCATTGAGAAAGGAAGTTGGGTCCTCTGGAAGAGCAGATAATACTCTCTAACTACTGAGTCATCTTCCCAGCCCCACTAGGGCTATTTTTAAATAATCACAAATAATTTTGCAAACAGTTGTAAAATGTCATGTGTTGCTTTGAAAGGTAGGTGGATACTCTCTAAGACCCCTACAATCTTGAGAAGAATAAAATCCAACATTCACGTTTGTACCTGGGATTCATATATCACATACATAAAGAAACTTCTGATATATGTATCTCCTCTCCCTTATGCTATCTGAAAAAACATTGAACATGCCTCTTCTTGTATCACCGTCCTAACGTGTATGAAGGTTGGCTGTATCAGCTTCCCTCTCTCTTGCATAAACTTCATCTCACATCTCATGTCTCATAACAATTTACACTGCAGTTTTTCTTGTAAACCAACAATGTAGATTGAAGTTTTAAATAAATTTAAAAGAGACCACTGAAACATGTTTCATATTTTCATATAAGTCGTTATAGATTCAGACTCAATAAATGTCCTCCCACTTGAGGAAAATGTTCTTAAACTGTCTGTACTGGAACACATAAAAGAAGATGGTAAATAATAGCATTCAGGAAACCTGCTCACTCTACAATGTAGATTGCTCATGACAGTTCAAAAAGTGAGCCCTAAAATGAAGAAAAGTTCATGGCAAATAGACTAATACTTCATCATCTTACCAAGTCTTCAAGTACACACTGATGAATTAATATCAGAAATCATTCCCTTTTATATCCCTGGATTTTAAGGGTGACCTGTTTGAAAACTATGCCTCTCACTAAAATTTGTTTGAATTTTCAATATAGTTTCAGGCACTAAGGAGGAATATTCTCCTACATGAGTTACTCTGAAATTCTATTTAGATGAAAATGAGTGTCTGAAAACACACACACACACACACACACACACACACACACACACACACACACACACACACACACACACACACACACACACACACACACACACACACACACCCATATCTCCCTACCTTCCTCCATCTATTCCTTTCCAAATTTCAAGGACATTTGAGCTACAGGTAATTTCAAACTTCATCTTCAATGCACAGTATTCAAGAATTTTTATTCTCCCACATTAAAGTATCATTCACGGAATAAAGAAACCAAACGAAACCAAACTCACCTGCAGTCCACATTTCCTTAACACTAACATGGAATACAATAACCACAACATTCCCTGAAATTACAATCTTCAAATCTGCTACTTTTTATAAACTCTACAAGGTAACTGAGTATCTTTGAGAAACTTATTTCATGTGGAGGCACAGCATTTCTGGACAATGCATTTGGGAAGACTCCAGCACTTACTTGACATAAGCCGCTGATGCACATATCCAGTGATTCTGTATAGCATCGGGTTCCATCTAAGACCTTTGGTGCTAGTTCAACGATTAGGCTGGTTCCTTTGGCTTGACACTTGAGTGAACATGGGTTGTCAGGGTCATTAGACACAGGAAGCCATTCATAAAACTGGCCATGGTACTTGACATCATTATGAGCAGAACACTGCTGAGCTCGAAAATCACCTGCTTCTGGTGGACAGTCCTGGAGAAGTAGAGGACAAGGCATAAGTACATATTATAACAATAATCTCAAGTAGAAAATTGGAACAGCTGTCCCTTATGTGAAAGTCACAGAAAATAAAGTGAATGTCCTGATCATTACAGATGATCATTATGTCTTTTTAGAGGTTAGATGATTATTTTGGCCCTTGAAATGTAAAGACCTGGAAAAGAAATAACCTTTAGAGGCTTTCTTATTGAAGTCAAATGAGAAAGCAACTAACTTGAAATAAGGCTTTGCATTGACATGATGGCAAAGTAGCCATCCTGAAATACTTTCTGAAAGATGTCTACTTGCCCATGATCTCTTCAACATCATGACATTTCAATTCCTTCTAATTTTGGATAGCTGAAAGCATTTCTGTCTCTCTCAATCCTGAAAATGAGAGATATGACAATGTTTCATTTGTTTTTTTGTCATACTGGGGATTGATGTGATGGCTTCATGTACCATAGGCAAGAAGGCGAGCTCTGTTGAGCTATCTCCCTAGATCTTTACATTAAAAATTATGAGTATGGGTTTTTTTTTCTGAATGTGCATGCCTGATGCTGTTTTTTTCCTGAGTGTATATATTTGTACCATGTGCATACCTCGCACATGCAGAGGCTCAAAGAGGATATCATATCTGGAACTAGAGTTCCAGAAGGCTGTGAGGTGCCATGTGGGTGCTAGAAATTGAACCCAGGCCCTCTGGAAGAGCATCTAGAGCTCTTAACCATCAAACTATGTCTCCAGCCTCATCTAGACTTTTAAAGTTTATTTACTGATTGGTTGATTGGCAAGGCAGGCCTTGCTTTTCATTCTAGAGCCAAAGCTGATCTGGAACTTGTGATCCCTCTGCATCAGCCTTATGAGTACTAAGATTATGGATGTAACCATTACATCTACCTAAAACAAATGACAAGCCTTTGTTTTAGTAGCTACTAGAAAACACTTATGATGACTTTACTTAAAAATATGTGAGGTCATTTGTGACCTGTCTTCTGGAACTTACATTTCCTAGTCTCTAAAATTAACATAGGGAACAAAGAAGAGAGACAATCCTTTCTATGGGAATTGCTTTAGGCTCAGTTGGTAAGGCAGAGAAGAGAGGACACAGATGTTTTCCTCAGATGGATGTGTGGCAATGAGACTTCCTATGCTCTGTACAGAGGCAATAATACCACTCTGCCTACAATGTTGTATGAAAAGGTTATGAACATAGCCCAGTCATTGACTGACTCAAGGTAGATATCCAGTAGCAATTACTTTGAATAATTAATGAGGTGTTTGACAACAAAGACCTGGAGAATTAGGGCATTCTATTAATTTAAATTTCAAATAATGTTGGCAGAGGCTGATGGAAAATAAAAGCCTCTAAATATACATTTTGTAAGGGGAAACTTAAAACATAAAACTACTACTAACAGTGGTTATTGTCTAATGGATGATAAAACTCAGAAAGAGAAAATAAAATCAAGCTTTTAAAAAGGGTGAAATAGAGAGAAGTGGGGGGGGAGTTTTAAGAGGGGAGGGGAAATGGAAATCAATACAGGAGAGGTAGAATGGAGAGCTAACACTACTAAGGATGTTTGAAAAAGCCTTGAGGAGTCATTTACTTTGTATTTACCTGAAACTACATGCAATACATGTAAGTGTATGTATGCATAAATATGTGAATGTGTGCATACCTATTCATGTATACATATATACATTCATGTATACAAGAATGCATATATGTACACACAAATTTATATATGTATTTGAAATGACATTATAACACTTGGGCTGACAATGCTCCCCACAAGAGCCACAGACTATCTAATAAAAACCCTAGAACCAGGCATGAGAAAACCTCTTTTGAGTTGTTGGTCAGGATAGTCCAAGAGACCCATGTAACAGTATAGGCCAATGCCATTACCCTCAGTTACCTTCCAAAGGTAGAAGGCAAAGTCCCTATTGCTGAAGACAACACCTCTGAGACAACTCAGAAGACTCAAGTTGGATCTAACCTGGAAGGCTTCCTTCCTGAAGTTTAGTTTTCACAGTAACAGGCGGTGCTATGCAAGCTGCCTAAGAAAGGAAGCAATCAATGGCAGTACTCAGCTGTGACTTTTATGAATCACAACAATGACCAGCATGACAAGATCTACCACCAAAATATGAGTAGCACTCATATCTTGGCAGTAACCACAGATGTCTAATTGGACTTAAGGCCTGCTCAACAGGAGGCAAATCATGCCTGCTAATGGAATCCTAGCCAACTATGAAGGGATGGCGAGCTTGCAGATCTTAGAAGAGAACCTGCTCCCTTCACTTCATCAGATCAGCATATTCTTAGATATTCTGAAATTTATTTAAGAATATTTAAGAGTTTGTTTAAGAATATTCTAAAACCTATTCTTATATGCACAGATAATTATAGGTCTCTTACTCTCCAGTAAAGAAACCTCTCTTTGTAGCAGATGAAGACCATCACAGAAAACCAGTCAAAATGCAGAGACTGAATGATCCCAGGGTACCCAGAATTCCAGTGGATTCAGCTACAACAAAACTCCTGCATCTGAGGCCCAGGGAATATCACAATCAGAAAGATTGTAAGAGCCAGAGAACCAGAAAATCTGCTGCAAAATTGTGTCCTGTAGAAATGACAGGGAAGCTACAGCCATGATACCTCAACAATAAGAGCTGAGTATGGACAATAGCAATACATATGCTAAGGCGGAGGGTGAAATCTCACAGGGCCCCACCCATAGACAAAGAACTACCAATGACTGCTGAGAGAGGGAGAATTAGTCTTTCCCAGATATGGGCCTCTTAAATGGTTATACAAATACAAATACGAGGTGAGCAGCCCTGAAATCATATACACACAATCAACACTAAGCCAACTCAGTAGGTACAATTACGTATTTATACTCATGAGTAATAATAATAGTAATAACAATAGTAATAATAGTATTAATAATAAGAGGCCATGCATTTGAGAGGGAGTAATGGGGGACGTGGAAGGGACTGGAGAGACAGGACATGGGAGTGGTTGGAAGAAAGAAAGGAAGGGAGGAAGTGATAGATTTAAAAGGCACAAAGAGAAATAGGACTTTAGGCTGACTTCTGAGGAGTCCTATTGATTTTCTATTGTTGTGTGCTAAGACATTTGGACTGAAACAACTTGAAGAGTAAAGGTTTATTCTAACTTGGAATTCTAGGTCACAGTTCATCATTGGGGGAAGTCAGAGCAAGAAACTGAAGCAGAACCCGTGGAGGAATGCTGCTTCCTGGCTTGCTCCCAGACTTAGGCTTAGAAAGATTTCTTACAAAACAGAGTTCCACATGCATCATCCACAGTGGGCTGAGCCCCTCCACATCAATCATTGATCAAGACAGGTTTCCCTGGTCTTGGCTTCAGACCAATCTGATTTGGGCATTCTTCAATTGACGCTCCCTCTTCTCAGGTGACTCTAGATTGTGTCAAGTTGACAATAAAAGCTAACTAGCACAGACTGGTAAATTTTATTTATTGTTTTCAGAATGAGATTCTCTAAAATTTCCATACTATCCACCTATGGAGAAGCTTTTATTACAATCTTTTATCTTAAATGATCTGTATGTGGACAGCAATTCTCCCTCTCTACATTATTAATCTGACAGTTAATTTATTCACTTCTTGTCCTGAAAAACTCAACTATATTCATAGAAGCATTAGAGAACTGTGTTGTTCTTTATTTTATAAAATGCCTTCTTGACTTTTCAATTACTCTAGTGGCTCTATCACACAGTGTGTAAGGCTCTGTTATTTACTAGGCAAGGTAGGATACAGGTAATTAAACATTTATCTAGGATAAACATGAAATGGCTCAAAATGTAATTTAAAATCTTAGAAGATATTTTATTGTTAGTATTATTTTTTATTTTAGGAACAATCTTATTTTACATATCAATCTCCCCATTCCCTCACCCTCCCATCCGATCATGACCCCACCAATCCAGCCCCCACCCACTCCTCAAGGATAGTGAGGCCTTCCATGGAGGATCATCAAAGTTTGTCAGATCATTTGGGGGAGGGCCTAGGCCCTCTTTCGTGTATTTGGGCTGCAATAGTATCCCTCCATAGGTAATGGGATCTCAAAGTCCATTTGTGCACTAGGGATAAACACTGTCTCCACTGTTAGAGTGTCCAGGCCTCCTAGCTGGCACCCACATTCAGAGGGCTTGGTTTGATCCAATTCTGGTTCCCCAGCTTTATGACTAGGGTCTCTGTGCTCTCACTAGGTCAGGTCAACTGTTTCTGTGGGTTTCTCCAGCAGAGTCTTGGCTCCTTTGCTCCTCCCTTCTCCCTCCTCCCTTTTCCCTCTCTACTACTGGATTCCAGGAGTATGGCTCGGTGTTTAGTTGTGGGTGCCTGTTTCTGCTTCAATCAGCTACTGGATGAAGGCTCTAGGATGGCAACCAAGGTAGACATCAATCTCATTATAGTGGAAGGGCATCAAAGACAGTAATTACATACTCTCTCTACACTGCCTAGATTCTTAGTTGGGGCTATCCCTGTCCATCTCTGAACATTTTCCTAGTGCCAGACCTCTCTCTAAACCTATACTGACTCCGTCTATCAAGGTATTTCCTTTCTTGCTCTCCTCTATTCCTCCCCTGTCTCAGTCTTCCTGATCCCTCTTGTATTCCTCCCCTCTCCTCTTCTACCCTTCTCTTTTTCCCCCCTCCCTCCTCTCTATTCCTGTGCTCCCAATTTGCTCAGGAATTTTGTCCCTTTTCCCTTCTTCGGGGACCATGTGTTTTTCTCTTGGGGGTATTGTTCTTTAGAAATTCTACCAACATTTGCTTAGACATTATTTGTTATCTTCTGCCCTAAAACAACTCATGCTAACTTCGGTCTACGCTCCTCACATTTGCTTCCCTCAATCTCTCTGTTGACCTTCTTAAAGTCTCTCTCAAGCTGCTACTTCCCCATGTCAGCAGGTTGAATAAACCCAGCTTTACATGGTCCC